CCACTTGAGACTGCTTGAGAAACTCAGGAGAATGAGTTTGGGATCTGACTCTACTGCTTTTCAATTAATGTAGCTCAGGGTCCTTCTCTATAGATACTTCAACCCACTCATTTTCTACTCAGTGTAGCTTTCCCTTGCCTTTGGCTTCTGCCTCCACATAGCTGCTGATCTCTTCTAAAATTGGACTGACACCTGAAGCATAATCTTTCTTTCCTCCAGCCTGATACATTCAGTCTCTCCCTCCCTCTCTCCCCCTACCCTCTCTCTCTCTCTCTCTCTGATCATCCTGTCAGCTTCACCTTCCGTTATGAAACTTTAGATTTTTCTGCCTATATTTCTCAGTTCAAATTCCACATAGTCTTCCCTTCTACATGGTTTGGCTTTCTGAAGTTTCAGAGTTATCTGGTCAACTGCAATCCAAAAGAATTGAATGATTCCAGAAATAATTCATAAACTTTAAGTTGTGTTTCATTCTAAGCAGCACAATGAAATAATTTTTAAACAATTTTTAATATGTTTAGTTTTTAATGTTTTATGAAATATTACTATGTCAAACAACAAATGAATACTTGCAGTGATTTTTTTCCTGTGAATTTGAATTTTTTTCTTCTTTTAATTTTTTTTTTTTGTTGTTGTTGTTGTTAATTGTCATACTAGAAATTGAACCCAGGGCTTCATGAGTTTGAGACAGGTGCTCTACCACTGAGCTAAACCCACAATGCCTTGAAATTCTTTTTAAAAGAGAAAAGGTTTGGATTATATAAACATAGCACAATGAAATCTTTTACCATCCTGTTCTGTTTCACACAGGATGTGAATCATCCTTTTGTCCACTGTATCCACTTTTTATATGCTACCCACCTGATTTAGTTATCAGATCAGTTATCAGATCAACTGTCATGGTATCATAATACTTGTATTAAAGTAACCCACATTTTACTTAAAAATGACCTTTAAGTGCAGGAGTAGTAATGCTGATAATTCAGATATGCCAAAGAGAAGCCATAAAGGGCTTCTTTTAAAGTAAAAGGTGAAAGTCCTTACTTAATAAGGAAAGGAAAAACTTATATGCTGAGGCTGCTAAGATCTATGGAAAGAACAAATCTTCTGTCCATGAAACTATGAAAAAAGAAAAAGAAATTCATTTTAGTTTTGCTATTGTTAGAAATACAAGGGTGTGCCAGGTGCCATGGTGCATGCCTGTAATCCCAGAAGCTTGGAAGGCTGAGGCAGGAGGATCATGAGTTCAAACCCAGCCTCAGCAACTTAGAGAGGCCCTAAGCAACTTAATAAGACCCTGTCTCAGAATAAAAATTAAAGTTGGATGGGGATATAGCTCAGTGATTAAGTGCCCCTGGGTTCAATCCCTGGTACACCGCCCCCCCCAATTGTCCCAAGCCCAACAAGGAATCAAACATGTGCACTGAAGTAGCTTGGCAAGGCAAACTTTACTTTTGCAAAAGGGCGTGCTACTGATTATGGTAAGCAAGCACACGTGAGTGAACAGTCCACCTGATTATATCCCTAATGCAGCACTGCCCCTTGCTCTGATATGAGGAGCTCAGGGTTATAATCTACATGATTGGCTCATTTTAAATTGGGGAAAGGCTACAGTTAAAGGGAAGAGCTATAGTTAAAATGGCTACATTGGATCTTACATCCTAATTAAGGCTAAATACTATATTGTGAAAATGGAACACCAAACTTTCTATTTCTTACAAGGTGACACCTCAAACTGAGAAAGCTACAGTCATAGTATGTGATAATTATTACATTCTGATAGAAAAGGCATTAAATTTGTGTGTACATATGTATAGGAAAACAACATAGTATGTATAGGGTTTGGTCCTATCCTTTGTTTCAGGCATCCTCTGAGGGAATTAGAACTTATCTCCCACGAATAAGGTGAACCACAACAAGCAGAAACAGAGGAAAATAATCTGGTTAGTTAAGGGGACATGGTTTCCATTCAGGGCATCTTGAGAGTTCTGGCAAGCATGGATAACAAGGCTGCTCCTTCCACAGTGGTATGAGTAGAACAGTTCCCAGGGGAGGGCACCAGGCACTACATCTTCAGGAAGCAAGACTGTGCCTTCCCTGTGTATTACTGCTTGGTACCAGTTATCCAGAGCAGTGCCAACATGAAAACAGAGTGCGAGAATGTTTTATTGTACCATTACTTCACTTTATATTTTCTCTTAAATTCCTCTCTGCATTTTCTCTACCCTACATTTTAAGCTTTCATCATAGCCCAAGCAGGGGACATGTTTTGCCTCTCCTGGTTGCTTTCTGTACCCTCCTAAACCATCTATTCATGTTCTCATCTATGTACTCAATATCCATTGAATGCCTGCCCTGTAACAATACTGGACAATAAACTACTGGAAGTCTTTATACAGGATGGCACAGGGCACTCAATGTAAAGCACAAATTCAATTTCATGGGTTGAATTGGGTCTTGGGAGTTCTCCCAGGACCTTGTTGCTGCCTGCATCCTGTTGGCAGCGGGAATGAAATTTTATCCACTCCCACTCATGTTCCATTGGCAAGAGCTAGTCACTGGGGTTCTCTTAACTTCAAAACATGCCAGGAGAGGTAGTCTGATTGTCTTCCAAGAGGAAGAGATTTTGGGTGGTAGCAGAACCCCAGAGAAGTTTCCACAGAGTGGGCAAATAGACAGCTGTTCGGGCATCCCTTACCTCAGCGCATCCAAAGAGGCTAATAGTAGCTATTAGGGAGGTCTGTGTGCAGACAACTCAGGACCTAGGAAAGCCTCACTTCTCTGGGGATCTCATTCAGACTCATTGAATACCATCAGCTTCATATCTTTCAATCTAAGCTGATGATCCCAATTTTACAGTTTATGCTTCAAACGTGTCCCCATTTTTTAGACTTCCATATCCAGTTGCCTAAGTGGCATTTGGTTATCTTCTAGGATCTCAAACTGATCATGTTCTTATTCACATCCTCTTTACCCAGCCTAACCTCTCTCAGTGAAGAGTATCACTCAGTTGCTCAGACCAAAAACCTCTCCCTTTTTTTCATGTCCACATCCAATCCATAATCAGTCCATTTTCAAAATATATCCTGACCACCTCTTTCTAGTTACAACCACCACCGTGTCTGTCCTCAACAGCCACACGTTATTGTTTTGCCCCAAACACCTTCCAGCCTTGCCACAGGAGTTGTAACTTCCACAGCAGCCAGAGTGATTTTCTTAAAATGTAAATTACATCGTATCTTTCTAGGTTTCCTATGACACTCTAACCTGTTTAGAATAAAATTCAAGGTCAAGACTATGTATAATCTGACCTTTGTCTTCAAAACTCATCATTTTTCCTTTCCTTTCTTATAGTCTCAGAGTCTTTGCACTTTCCTGTGTCACCCATGTCATCGAGAGCTCTGTGACATAGCACTGGTCAAGGAGACTCTCCAACTCTCCTACATAAACCAACACCTCCTCACTGCCCCTCCTTCCTTTAACCCAGCTTTATTCTTCATCCTAGCTCTGATCACTGTCTGAATTTGAGTCTCTTCCCACTGCTCTCCAGGAGTATTTGCTGCAAGAGTTCAGTATTTGGTTGATTTTTTTTTTCAAGGACACAATCTGTTTCAAGGAGAATATCTGCATTATGAAAAAGAAAATGGATTCCTAACAAAAATTAGAATTAGAACAATCATATTATCCAGCAATCCCACTACTAGGTATATATTTGAAAGAAGGGAAATCAGTCTGTTGAAGAAACATCTGCACTTCCATGCTTATTGGAGCACTATTCACATTAACCAAGATAGGGAACCAACCTAGGTGTCCATCCGTGGGTGAAGGGATAAAGAAAATGTATTGTATGCGCAATGGAATGTTATTCAGCCATAAAAAGAACAAAATTCTGTCATTTGTAACAATATGTATAGAATGGGGGTATTACATTAAGTGAAATAAGTCAGGCACAGTAGGAGAAATGCCACATATTCTCACTTACGTGTGGAAGATAAAAAGTTGATCTTAAAAAAGTAGAGAATATAATAGTGGTTACTAGAAGCTGGGAAGGATGTGAGGGAGGGAGGGATGGAGAAAGGAGAGTCAATGGTTATAGGGAGAAATTATGCCAACTATTGTAAAGCACAGTAGGAAAACTATGGTTGACAACTATTAATGAAATATTTCAAAATAGCTAATAGAGAGGACTGTGAACACTCCCAACACTAAGAAAGATTCGTACCTGAGGTGATATATATGCTAATTACCCTACCAGATACATTGTATGTATTGAAATGCCACATTATATAAATATAATAAATTTATATTTTAAAAGAAATTAAATATATATATATATAATTAAAAGTGATATTTGACACAAAACCAATACTCAGTAAATATTTATTGAATGAATGGATGAATAACAAGCTAATAGTGGATTTTTAAAATGGAGGCAATATCCAGGGCACTGGAAATGGAAAAACAAGCTAAATAAACTTTTAAATAAGAACAGTATATGGGAAATGTCTTTTATCCAATGAAAAAAAATAAGAAAATAGTGTTTTGTTTTCCCTAACCCTAACTTCTAGTCTGCCTATAAAATTGTTTATTTTTTATTTTTCAGACTTTATTGTAATTCTCTGCAGAGGATTTAACATGGAATACAGAAACCTGAGGTATTTTCATTTAGCTTGTTTTTCTTTTTTACCCTCCTTACCTGTAACTTAAATGCTTATGTTTTATTTCACATCTTTGCTGTTTTCATTAAATTAAAATCGTTGTAGAAGCAATCCTATTTCAGTTGTTCTTTTGACATTTTATCGATCAACATTTCACTAAAGGTATCAACTTTCTCTAGGATGCAGAGAGACTAATAGAACTTACACAAAAATTTCTCCTGAATGAATTTCCCCACCTTCTTGGTGATTGTACACCTGCCTTCCTTATAAGGAGAACAAGGAAGTAAATCATGTTGAAGTTGCTTTTAAACACAGCTTTTCTTCTTTACCTGTCCAGGTAGCCTCTGTTTTCATTTCAGTCGTAATGAAAGCTTTTTAATTTACATCTCAAGTTTCATTTCAAAGCAGTGTAAGTAGTATTTAATATTTTACACTTCAAGAAAGAAAGCCTTTAACGATCTTCAGCTTTGGTCTTGTAACCTTGAAGGTAATTCATTTTTTTAATCTGCACAGCGAGAACTGAAACGAATGGGGATTGAGCTGCTCTGCCTGTTCTTTCTATTTCTAGGAAGGAATGATCGTGCACAAGGTAAGACCTAAGTTCTCGGATATGTTGCTTTCACGATATGCTTGACAAACCTGTCATTTGGTTCAGAAACTAGAGCCGAAGTCATTTTTTATTTGACCTGTTTGATGGCTCTTTTGCCACCGAGTGAATACTTTAACAAATTACAGGCAAACACAGGGCTGGTCCCACCGTGAATGTTCTAGTCTCAAGGTAAATAAATACAAAGGTTACACAGGCATTTTAATGAGGAGAATTAAACAACATTACTGCACAGTAGGACTTCTTAATGCCTTTATGACAGTCGTTTTGGAAATTTCTGTTTTATTATACAATAAGTTCTTCCTCTTGAGAGTAATAATCTTGGGAGAGAAAAAAAGGATTTTATTTCACAAACAGAAATACCACATTTATAAGAGAAGCATTTTAAATGGTTACAAATAATTTTAAAATTAAAATGACAGGTATTTAATAAGAATAAAAAACAAGATGATTCTGTATTTGTCAACAGTTAGCTATTTTTAAAAAAAGAAGAGGATGATAATTTTTGGCTTATAAGGCACATGTATTTTCAACGTGATAGATGTGAAGTGTAAATTTTTATGTGAGTTGCTAGCATTTTCAGAATTGATTTTTGAAGACAAAAATACATTTTGATATTGTTTTGTTCAAGTAATTTAAGAGGCATAAGTCTCGTAAATGGAATGAATGAAAGTGTACTTAATTCCTTGCATCTTGCTAAATTTAAATGTAGGTGGCTGTGCCTTGGGAGGTGCAGAAACCTGTGGAGACTGCTTACTCATTGGACCTCAGTGTGCCTGGTGTTCCCAGGAGGTAAAACAAATGACCTCAACATGTTTTTAAAAGCTCTGTGCAGTTACACTTATGTTGATTTCCTCAATGATAGCTCAGATAATGTCCTTCTTTCTGTGGGGTTATATGAGTGAAACAAATCAAGAAAGGATAATAAAAGTATTAGTGGATCAAAGTGGCATTCACATGATTGCTTTCAAACACAATTCATGGAAGGAATGCATGTCAAATTATTCTAAATAAAATAGTTAGCTCAGAGTCCTTTATTTAACCTGGTTCCTTTTCTTATTTTAAGGTAATTTCTCATGGGTTAAATGTAAAATGTCAAGCCTTTCTGGACAATCAGTAATCATGGAGATGTTTTCTGAAGTTAAACACACATTTGATATCAGTACTATAGCTGTATTCCATCCGGGAACCAGGATCCAATGTGAGCCACTGCTAGTTTCTACAAGGAGCATTCTAATTTCGGGAAAAACATTGCTACTAAGGCCTTATTCAGTTCTTTTAAAACTTATATTTTCATGAGCTCAGTCACTCTGTATCATACCAATGACAAAGCCCCAAACAGACATTCCTTATCTAAAACTGAAAACTATGTAGTATGAAGATGCCTGGGGGCATATAGCAAGCCATTCTAAGTCACTGCCAGTGCTGTGACACCATAGAGTGATCTGCAGAGGTGTCCTGATAAGAAAGAGATGCACTAACTCTGAATTTTAAAACAAGTCTTTCCCCACTGGATCTCATGAAGATAATCTAAACATCTATTCTTCCCATGCTCTAGATAGGGCAGAGGCATGGGAGGGTAAGGGAGGGGGCAGGGGGTTAGCAATGATGGTGGAATGTGATGGACATTATTATCCAAATACATGTATGAAGACATGAATTGGTGGGAACATACTTTATGTACAAACAGAGATATGAAAAATTGTGCTGTATATGTGTAAAAAGAATTGTAATGCATTCCTGTATAATATATTTAAAAAATAAAAATAAATTAATAATAATAATAATAAAAAGAGCACAAACCTGGCACACTGCCCTAGTACTCCCTTGACTGATAGGGGCCACAAAAACAGCATTCAGGGGAATTGTGCTCTCTTGAACCAACGTATCAAATTCAGGATTGAGAATGTAAATGTGGGGGGTAGGCATAATTTTTTGGACATTGGCTTTCTAAAGAAAACAGCATTAATTTCATTCCAGAGACTGAAAATGGCAAATCATTCTAGAATTTTTGTTTAAATGCACTTTTTAGCATTTGAGAGAGTTTCTCATAGCCTTACTTGTGGATGACCCTTGGTAGCTAAATGATTGTCAAATTTTATGGCAAGATTAAGAGGTCACTCCAGTAGTAAAAGTAGTTATTAGTTTATCAATTGAGGTAATTGGAACAAAACGTAAAATAGATTTCTGCATGGGAAGAACAGAAAATATGCTGTGTGGTTAACACCACCCCTGACCTTCTGGCAAAGGCTGTGACTACAGCTGATAGCAACTGCATTGTATTGTGAAGGCGCCTCCATCAGCCACTGTTTGCCTTCCTTACAATATGAGATGTTAGAGAGTTTGCCAGAGCCTCAAATACACAAAGGCCTGACTGGTAGATAACAAATTATATTCTCAAAATTTAATTTCAGAAGAAAGGTAACTTTTCTACTTGGTGAAAACATCAAGAGTGGCTTTGAATTCTAAGGGGCCAGGAAAAATATGGGCATTGGTTTGCATGAGAGTCAATGGGTTCAACTTTTCCTAGTGCCTGCTGTAGAGTAGCCTTGCCATCAGGTAAGACAGGTATATCTGGGCTCCATTTTTTCTGCTCTTGATGCTGCAAAAATGGAATGGCCACATATCTGCTGGGAAATACTATACCTCAGTGCTCATGTGAACCTAATGGGGCCTAGGAAACTCCAGAGTCCTGTACAGAAAAGCAGACTTTAAACCATCTTCTAATTCCCTTCCTTACTTCCAAATCTTGGAGGAAAGACCTTGAACTAGAACACTTTAAGATACTGAGTTTAAGGTCCCTGAGAGATCAGTTTTAGTGAAATAATGCTAATCAGGGCAACACACCAATGATTAAAACTAGTAAAGTATCAGACAGTGCGATGTCATAATCCTTGTCCTTTAGAAATACATAGAAAAATCTCTCTTTGCTACCGGATTTGGTAATAGATGCACTGTAAAGCTTAGACAGGCCTAGGATTCCAAGAACCAACAAGTCATTCCAAAAAAAACAATAGACTGAAAAATATCAACTCGATGAACTCAACTATTTCAAGAATCTGGTCATGGCAAAGGAGAATCTTTAAATAAATGAGCTTTAAAAAAAAACTGCTAATGAATTCAAATGAACATAATTAAAAGGAGACTCCAGCTTTACTCATAACTTTGCTGGCAGAACACTCTGGCTATTCAACTATAACTTAGCTTTAGACCTACAATCAATGTCAGTCATACAGGAATATGATGTATTTAGGATGGCAAGATGCTTAACTAGGAAAGTATGTAAAAAATTTTAATTACTGCCATCTTATAAAGAAATGCAGATTTATCTTCTTTTTCTCTACTTTTTTCTTTTTTAGAATTTTACCCATCCATCTGGAGTTGGTGAAAGATGTGATACCCCAGCAAATCTTTTAGCCAAAGGATGTCAATTGACCTTCATCGAAAACCCTGTCTCCCAAATAGAAATCCTTAAAAATAAGCCTCTCAGTGTAGGCAGACAGAAAAATAGTTCTGACATTGTTCAGATTGCACCTCAAAACTTGATTCTTAAATTGAGACCAGGTAAGTTATGATTTTTTAACAGAAGGGGAAGGGTCTTTCAGAAGAAAGAAAAACACAGAAGCGTTTATTCATGTAAATAAACATAATGCTATGTGTGTAATATTGCTATTGCTTTAATATGGATGCTACATGTCACAGATCATTGATTATTATGCCTCCAATTGCCCATTTTTAAGGAAATATGAAGTTTCGGGGCTCACATTTTTCTTTGTTCACATTGGCCACTTCTACTCCAAATGTGTTACTGAAGAAGTCTTTTCTAATAGTAACCATTTGAATTACTCAAATGTTGCTTAGATTTGCCTCACATTTCTTCAAGAGTTGAAATGTAGATTGAAACTCTCCTTTATTTTGTTCACCTGTTCTAAAACCACACACAAAAAAGTTCAGCTTATCTTTCATCTAAATGGATGCTAATTCTTCCCAGGAGATATAAAATATCCTAACTTATATTTCTTCAGTACTCATAAACTCAATGCTGAAAGATGTTTGTGGGCTTACTCATTTATAAACTCTACCACTTAGTACATCACATGGTATGTATCTTCAGTAAGTTCTTAATGGAAAGAAATAGCTAGCTAGCGGGGAGATTAGCCAGTTGCAAATAAACCTTCCTGTGTTTTATGAATTTGCTTTCCCTGTGGGGCTCTGCAGGTGGTGAACAGACATTGCAAGTGCATGTCCGCCAGACCGAGGATTACCCTGTGGACCTGTATTACCTCATGGATCTCTCCGCCTCCATGGACGATGACCTCAACACAATCAAAGAGCTGGGCTCCCTGCTTTCCAAGGAGATGTCTAAATTAACCAGCAACTTTAGATTGGGCTTCGGCTCTTTTGTGGAAAAACCCGTCTCCCCTTTTATGAAAACAACGCCAGAGGAAATTGCCAACCCTTGCAGGTAAGTGATTCTCTGGCATCTCTGTGCACTGATTTCCACAGCGATACCCCGCTGCCCTCCCTGAGCCGCACTTGCCAGGAACTCGCTAACTCCCTGGCATTTCTATCTGGCTGTCTGATCTCACAGTTCTCTCAGATGCCCAAGTTGCTCGCAGCCTCCGAGGATCTTAAATGTACGGTTCTAGCCTTCCAGCCTCTGCAAAGCATCTGCCTCCAGCGATGGAGGGCGTGGCCAGGGGCGTGGCCAGGGAGGTTTGTGTTCTGTGGACAAAGGGGGCTGTACATTCCATTGGATTTTATCCCCCTCCCTGCCCTTGGGAGACCTTCAATCCCCAATGACCACCACTGAAGCTGTCTGACAGTAACCTCTATTCGTTTTGAGTCTTTTTCTACTGCAATGACTTCTGTCAAAATAATAATTTTTGCAGCTTCCTCTGACGTACTTTGGGAAATGTGGGTTTCTCTCATTGTTTGGAGAAGGCCTTTGCAGCCATCACTGCTACTAAATTCACAGGAAATGAGTCAGTGACTCTATTATAATGTGTTATAATCAGCTATTAAAACCATGTCTTATGCAGGATGGCCAAGGACAAATAGCTTTGTGATGGCTTACCTGTGCAGCCAATGACATGTTCAAAATCAAATTATTTAATACCCTTCTATTGAGAAAGAGCCACCATCTGCTCTGGGCCAGACCCTGCACTGAAGGCTTTACATACATGACCTTATTCAATCTCTATAATGACAGCAGGTTAAGGCAGGTTTCATTAGCCCTATATTCAGAGGAAGTAACAGAGGCTCTGCATGGTTAATAATTTGCTCAAGGGCACATGACTAATAAGTATACCAAGATCTGGTTTGATCCAAAACCAAGCCCTTTACTACTATGCATTTCGTATATATGAAATCATTTTTAAAATGTTAATTTTTAATATTCTTATACACCAGAGCAAGCAATCCCTATAAAAGACAAACAGCTTCTATCGTATTTAAAAACACATCAGTGCACTTCTCAACTATAATCTAACATAGGTAAAAATTATTTAACTGTGAAAGTAATGTACCACTGATTATAACTCTTAGGAATTGTGTTTGGTTAAGAGTATCAGAAACGGTGGCTTTAAAAGGAGAGAGTTTTTTTTTTTTCTCTCTTTTACACAAAGTGAAGTCAGGGCTTGGGTGACAATTCCACAAACACCAGAAATCCACAACTTCTGTGGTTTTTTTTTTTTTTTTTGCTCCACCATCTTTAGCACTTGGATTTTGTCTTCATGGTCCAAGAGGCTGCTAGGGTATTAAGCATAATTTCTTCACTCCAGGCAGAAAGAAAGGAAGAAAAGTGGGGCAGATTAGTTAAGGGCACTATCTGACCCTCTTAAAGTATAATTGACATGCACTTGAAATACGCACATCAAAAATACTGTTTGAAGACTCTTAATAATTGAATATACCAGTATAATCAACACCCAAAACGTGATATAGGTATATTCATCACCTCAGAAAGTCTCCTCATGCCTCCTTCCAGTCATTTCTACTTCCTCAGAGGTGCTCACTTTGTGATTTCTATAATTTAGATTGGTTTTGCCTATTCTTGGATTTCATACAGCTAAAATAAAATAGTATACACCTTTGTGTCTTGGCTTCTTTTGCTCAGTGTAATGTTTTGAGATTTAATAATTATCTTGTGTATACTGGAAATTTGTTCCTTTTTGTTTTAATAGGTAGTCCATTAATGGATTTGCTACATTTTATTTATTCCTTCTTCCATTGATGGACATTTGAGTTGTGTCGTTTCTTGGCTGTCATGAAAAATGCTGCTATGATCATTTGAATATACATCTGTGTATGGATGTCTGCTTTTATTTCTCTTAGATGGATACCTAGACTGGAATTGCTGAATTGTTTAAGTGTACTCTTAATTTTTAAAGAAACTACCAAAGAGCTTTCTGAAGTAGATATACTTCTTTTCATTTCCATAAGCAATGTGAGAGGGCCCCAGATAATCCACATCCATGCTAACACAGTGTTAGCACAAATGCTCACTTTTACATCTCACGAAAAGAATTAGTCGTTTTAATTTTAGCCATTTTAATAGGCATGTAGTGGTATCTCACTGTAGCTTTAATTGGAGTTTCCTTTGTAACAAATGATGTTGAATACCTTTTCATTTTGCAGTCTCATTTTGTATTGTGTGAAGCATCTCTTCATATCTTTTGCCCATTTTTAAAAATTAGATTGTCTTCTTAAAATTGTGTTGTAAGCGTTCTTTATATATTCTGGATACAGGTTCTTTGTCAAACATACGCTTTGCAAATATTTTCTACCAGTTGTGGCTTGTGTATTTATTTGTCCAACAATGGTTTTAGTCAAACAAAAGTATTTAATTTTGATGAAGTCCAATTTATCAACTTTTAATTTTGTGATTGGTATATATTTTGTCCCAAGATATTTTTGCCTACTCTAAGGTTGTAAAGACTTCTTTTCTCTTTTCCCTAGATTTATGGTTAAAGTACTTACATTTAGGAAATTTATGATTACAAATGAGTTTTTGCATTGGGAATGAGAATAAAAGTTCTAAGTTCATCTTTTGTTTCCAAACAGATATCAAGTTGATCCAAAATTTGCCTTTCCACATCAAATTATTCTTGTTGTCTTTGTTTAAAAGCAGTTAACTATATATGTGTGCATCTAATTCCAGACATATTCTCTTTCATTGCTCCATTGATTATACCTATGTAACATTAATGCCTCACTCTCTTGCCTTATGATGTCTTTAAAATTGGGATTGTAAGTCCTCCAACTTCATTCTCTTATTTTTGGCTATCCTAGATCCTTTTCATTTCCATATAAATTTTAGAATCAATTCTTCAAAAAATATGCTGAGATTTTGACTGAAAATGTATTAAAACCATAGATCAATTTGAAGAGGTTGGACATCGTAAGCATATTGAATCTACCAGTCACTTCATATGACATAACTTCACTTTGTTAATTTCAGGGTAGAGATTTTTTTTTATTGGTGTTGTTTTATCTATTCCTAGGGTTTTATTTGTTTGTTTTTTGCAACAGTAGAGATTGAGCCCAGGGGAACTCTACCACTGAGCTACATACTCAACCCTTTTTTAAATTTTTACTTTGAGATAGGTTCTTGCTAAACTGTGGAGGTCAGCCTTGAACTTGCAATCCTCCTGCCTCAACCTCCCAAGTAGCTTGGATTTTAGGCATGCACCATGGTACCCAGTTCCCAGGAGTATTTTTTTTTTAAGTTCATTTTTCAATGGTGTGCTGGTGATTTATAGGAATGCAATTGATTTTTCACATTATAATAAATTTTCCCATTTATTCTAGTCTGATTTTTATAGATTCTTGTGATTTTGCAAGGACAGTCAAGTGAAACTAGTATAGCTTTTATCATTATCATGAGTGCTTGCTGGTAAAAATATATAAATATATATATATTAGAACTATATATATTAGAACTACTAGTAAAGTTGGTGCCACTGTTTGGACACGGGTTGAGGCACCAGCAGTTGACTACTGCTTTCCCATCATCATATCACAGCAAAAAAGGCAAATGACATATTTATACACTGTGAAAACAGTGTGACCCTAAAAGCCCTCTGGAATATCTCAGGAACCCCAGAGTCTATGCACCATTCTTCACAAACCCTTTTAGGACTGGCGATGTAGCTCAATGGCAGAGCACTTGTCAAGCATGTGTGAAGCCTGGGGTTCACTGTAAAGAAAGAAAAAATGCTACTCTTTTTTTTTTTTTTTTTTGGTACTAGGGATTGAACTCACAGACACTCGACCTTTGAACCACATCCCCAACCCTATTTTGTATTTTATTTAGAGATAGGATCTCACTGAGTTGCTTAGCACTTCACTTTTGCTGAGGCTGGCTTTGAACTCGGGATTCTCCTGCCTCAGCCTCCCCAGCCGCTGGGATTACAGGTGTGCACCATCACACTCAACAAAATGCTACCTTTTAAATCTAATTTCTAATGGCTTTTGGAGTATTTTTTATTTTTATTGGGAGGAGAGTCACTAAAAATTCATTTTACCATAAGAATGCTGAAGCACTAAAAATTCATTTTACCCTGTAAGAAGGCTAAAGCAGCTTACAGTTTTGAAAGAGTTCTCTTTGCTGTTGTCTAAGATACAGAATAAAAGAAAAGTTTTCTTCATTTCATATTTATAAATGAGTCATAATATGTATTTTTAAATACTTAACAGCATAAAAATTAAACTTTTCCCTCCATCAAACATTTTGAAGAATTTCTTCTTAACATCAATCCGCATACACTATGTTATGATTTTTTTTATCTCAAATTTGGTGAAGAATTCATTGTAGTTTTATGAAATAGGAGACAGAGCCATGGAAATAATGGATTACATGGATTTCCTATACATATACATACACAAAAGCATATTTGAGTATAGAATGTACAGTTTCTTATTGCAAAGTTAATAAGTTCATGTGCACAAAAAGAAGAAAATCAAAATAAGTCCTAACCCTAAGAAAAAGATGATGTTAATCTTTTAGTATATAACATTATAGTCTTTTTAAAAAATATTTTCTCATTTAATTTTTAAATTTGTTTTAATTAGTTATACATGACAGTAGAATGCACTTATGCACTTTGATATATTTTATCAATATTTATTTTAAATTTAACAAAATATATAAGTAGTACTTCTTTATATTGTGTTTCTCAATTATCCTACATTTTAAATGTAAATTCGTTGTTGTCTAGGAACTCAAAATCCTCCATTGGTAAGAGGTTCCTACTCCCTACACTTGCTATACTCAGAAAGCAATATCTAAACGTGAGCATTCATTAGAGCTATTCCAGTCCAATTAAGGGTTTCAGTTCCAATTCCGAGAGCAACCCCTCTCTAATGCTCTGTTTTACTTTTGCCACATGTTCTCCCATCACATGAATCTGCTCAGTGAGTTACATTAAGATTTCATCCACTTTTCAAAAGCATGGACTTCTAATAATTAGAATTATCTGCTCAGGACATAATTTCAACCAACAAAGATCGAAATTTCCCGCAGGAAGGTAGGACTGCCAATTCTTTGGTTCTAGGAGATGCTCCAATATCTCTTGGTACAGGATGAATCAACAGCCCCAAATGAAAGATTAAACAAAAAAATTCCAAGAATAGTTAGGTCCCAGGGACAAATAAGCCTACATGCTTTTTATCTGAAATAAACTTCATAGCAACTTCATGAAGTAAATGTTATCATACCCATTTTATGGATAAGGGCACTGAGGCCCAGCAATGTTAATGAACTTGCTCCAGGATAGAACTGTTCCGTCTTTTTATTCTAATTTTAATGAATTTTCTACCACCTCAGAGCTACTCCAGTCACTACAGGAGTAATTATGACACATGCTGAATTATCATCATTAACCAATTGGAAAAAAATTTAGAGCTCTTTCTCATATCACACTTTAAAATACGTCTCATATCTGAGGGTGGGAAAAAAATTCACTTTAATAAAAAGTTTTAAGGTATGTATCAAAAACATCAAAGACAAAAGTTTAATATTTTTCAGAGAGTTCTTCAAATTAAATGGGAAAATAAAAAATATACCACTAAGAAAATAAGCAAAGAGTATAAACCAGCAAATTGGTAAAAGAATAAATTCAAAGTGTCAATAAATATAGACAAGTGGGTCAGTCTCATTAGTAATAAAATGAAAGTTAAAAATAAAATTCAGATTTCATTTTAGCTAATCAGCTATTTTGTTTTGTTGAATGGTACAGTCTCACATACAATTATCAAAAATGACAGCTGAATCAAACTGATCAGAAAAGAGTTTGCAAATAAGGGCCAAAAAATAACCCAGCAATTCCCCATCAAAAAATTTATTCTAAGCAAAGATACAGACTAGTTTGCAAAAATATATGAAAAGGGATCACCATATTATTTAATTAACAAAAGATTTCAAAATAAATTCTCAGCAAGAGGAATGATTGAACTCTGATATATCTCATAGGCATTGCAACTTTTTAAAATTTCTTCTTCACATTTTCATATAAAACCTCATTTTTTTTCAATGAACAAAAAATGCATTTATTTTTAATCAGGAAAAAAACACTATTCTAGAGATATCATTAGCCAAATCCATTCATTATTGTCCTGAGGTCTGTGCTAATCTCTATGGGATTGATGTAAGAAACAACAGAAAGTACAGTTTCTTATTGCAAATGTTTGTCAAGCCCCAAACCCGAAAAGCTCATTGTGCAGTGTTCTCTGCATATTTTGTTTCTTCAAGCCTCACAACAACCCTGCTAGGTAGATACTATCAGTGGGCAAGACTTCAGAGTTTCAGAGAAACCTGATACATGATATTTTTTAAAAAGGGAATAAGATTAACTTCTGGGAGTTAAGGTAAAATGTAATGAATCAGAAAGAAATATAAAAAGTGGCCTGGAAACAGCACAGTGGCTCCTGAACCATCTGTGTTGGTACAGCTGAAATAATGGATTGTCCTGGTGGGTTGGGGGAAGACAGAAAAAAGAAGGGTCACAGAAGACATAGGCATCCAAGAACCTCAGCCAAGTCACTTCCAGAGTTTCCAGCCCCATTGACTAAAAGGACTTATGAAACATTTGTTAGGTGAGGAGGTTGACCACAGATGAGGGAGGGACCAGATGTAGTCAAGAGCATTTCTTCTTGAGATGGCCATCTTAGGACAGCTCAGGCTGTGCCATTCAGTGTTCTGAAACATTGGAAAACAATGGATTCTGACCTCTTTTCTTGAAAGTCTACTGTTAGGAAGAAAATCACTTCCCTCATGGACACCAACTTGCTGGTCCCCGTGAGAGCTTTACTACTCAGTATAAAAGAATCCACAGCCATTCTGATTTGAATGAACATTCGATTCTCATCACTTATGGTAGTCATTCTATAAACTTGCCTCAGGCACTGAGTTATTCTAATACTGAACATTGCTCCAAAGGGAAAAATAGGTTAGAATCCTATGAGCCTCTAGTTATAAGTTTAATCAACTGACCAATATATAACCTTGTTTTGTGTGTGTTTATATTTTAAAACATCTTGCTTAATAGATAGTGTTGATTCATTACTATTGACTGCTCAGACAATAATATTAAAAACTAATACTTGAACGAATTTTATATTTCCTACATGAGGCACATCACAACCTTTTAGCACTCAGGAACACTAGACAATAAGCCCTTCGTTCTCAGACTTGGGGACCATTTTAAACAAAGAAATTATCAATAAAATGAATATATGCACATACACACAAAGCCCTGGCACTAAATAGACCATAAAAAGACACACGTTATTTACACTGTGAGAGATGACTCGAGAAAGCAAAACATCATCTTGTTTGACCTCAGCAGGTAATGTGCACGTTAATGAGACTCACTTTTTTTTCTTCTCTGTGTAGATATACAAATGATGAAGAAAATTATGTATTGATTTGCTAAAAATAAATTTTAGTAAGTAGGTGAAAATTCACAAATGATGAGGATGTATAGGCAGATGAACTTAGTAACAGGAGTCTGACCCTGAAAGATGCACCTGCTCTCTAAGTGCTAACAAGAAAGCCTGCCGCACCTGCAAGCTCAAGCCCAGGCCCTATGTGTGCTCCACAAGAATCAACCAGGGCTCCCAGGCAGCGCACCACACCCTCAATGGAGGCTGCTCCTATCTGTCTCTGTGCTTCTGTGTCAATGGTTGTCAAACTTTAGTGTGTGTCAGAAAGGTTTGCTACAGTATGTGTTGCTGAGCACATTCTTGGCATTTCTAAGGCAGGAGGTCTGAACTAGTGCTCCAGATTTTGCATTTCTAACATTTTCCATGTGATTCTCATGCTGCTGTACCAGGAACCTCACTTTGAGAACCTCTGCTCAATACCATTATCCTGCTTTTATAGATGAAAGCTCAAAGCTCAGAAGGGTTAAGTAACTTGCTCAAGGTTTCAGGCACAGCTAGTAACTGACTTTTAGGATAAAATGTAGCTGAACTCATGATCATCTCTTTATGTTCTACTATTAGGAGCAGATTTCATCCTACCATGATATAAGCGGGGGGTTTTATTCCCAGGCTGGTCCCCAACAATGTAGACAAGCATGGTAGAGTTGGACTCTAGAACCTAGGCCCTGCTATGTTTTGGGTTTTTTTTTTCAACCTTCAATAATATCTTTTTTAAAAATATTTTATTTGTTCTTTTTAGTTATACATGACAGCAGAATGTATTTTGACATATTACACATACATGGAGTATAACTTCCCATTCTTGTGGTTGTACATGATGTGCAGTTACACTGGTCACATATTTATATGTGAACATAAGAAAGTTATGTCTGATTTATTCTACAGTCTTTACTATTCCCATTCCCCTGCCCTTCCCTTTATTCTCCCTTGTCTAATCCAAAGTACTTCTGTTCTTCACTACCATCCCCCCACTTATTGTGTGTTAGCATCCACATATCAGAAAGAACATTTGGCCTATGGTTTTGGGGGATTGACTTATTTCACTTAGCATGATAGTATCCAGCACCATCCATTTACCGGCAAATATCATAATTTCATTTTTCTTTATGGCCAAGTAATATTCCATCATGTGTGTGTATGTGTATGTATATGTGTGTGTGTGTGTATATATATAT